GAATAGGCTGGAGCTGTTGTCTCTGGAGCGTCAGAGGCTGAGAGGTGATCATACAGAGGTTTATAAAATCATGAGGGCATGGATAGGGTGAATAGTCAAGGTCTTTACCCAGGGTAGGGAAGTCCAAAACTAGAGGCCATTGGTTTAACGTGAGAGGGAAATGGTTTAAAAGTGACCCAAGGGACAACTTTTTCACACAGAGGGTGGTACATGTATGGAATGAGCTGCCAGAGGAAATGGTGGAGGCTGGTACAGTTACAACATTTAAAAGGCATCTGGATGGGTCTACAAATAGGAAGGGTTTGGAGGGATATGGGCCAAATGCAAGCAAAGGGGTCTAGATTAATGAAGGATATCTGGTCGGCCTGGAAGAGTTGGACTGAAGGGTCTGATTCTGTGCTGTACATCTGTATGACTCTAAATCCTTAGATTACTGCTGTATGAAATAGGCCTTCTTTTGAATTTCCTTCCCCCCACCCCCAACCCCCAACTCCCTAAAACTTGCTTTCAGGACGTCATCCCTCTACCTACCCATGTTGATGATACCAATGTGGAACTTGACCTCTCCCACCTCCAAAAGCTGCCCGCAGCTACTCCATGGTGGCCTTGACCCTGGCAGTAGGGAAGTAACATACTATAATAAAACAAAGAAACGGAGATTTGAAACAGAAACAGAAACTGGAGGAGAAACACAGCAGCTCTGGCGGTATCTGTGGGCAGAAAACAGAGTTAACATTTCACGACCAATTTCTGTCTTTGTTTCTGATGACTTGAAACAGTAACTCTGCTTTCTTCCCACTGATGCTGCCAGGTTTGCTGACTTCGCTGGCAATTTCTGCTTTTTTAAATTTCAGATAACATAGAATCATGTTTACAGATTTAACAGTAAATGAATTCAAAGTTCTGAAATCAATTTTCTGACATCAAATTCTCGATTCTGTGCGTTGCTTTTACACTTAATACCAATCATCCACAATTCAATCTTTTTAAAGCACATAAAGTGATTTGGGTTTTTTTACGAGTGCACTGTTCTGAATTACAATTCATTCCAATCACTGAGGTTGGGACAAAAATAAAATGATCATCCAATCATAAGATGTTTGAGGAAGAGCCTCCTACTGTAATAGTATTTGTTACAGTACTCCCGGTGTCTTTCACCTTTCCCTCTTTGAGCATGAGATAACACAGTTGTGGAGCTGGAGGAACACAGCAGGTCAGGCAGCAGCAGAGGAGCAGGAAAGTCGATGTTTCGGGTCGAGACCCTTCTTCAATTCTGTGTTGTCTCCGACTCCAGCGTGTGCACTTCTTGCTAACTCCCTCTTTGAGCATCGTGTCGTACGGTTGGGTGACTCTAACGTCGATCAGAGAATAGACTGGGACTTCCCCTCAACCTATCACTTCCGTACTGAGGCGTGAACGGCTTATCAAAATGGACCACAGAACAGGGAGTGTGCAACTTTTTTAAAATAATCTGTTTGGTCAAAGTTTGCAGTTGGGGGACGGATCTGACGGATGGAGGAGAAAGGAGATGCTGCTTGTGGGGAGATTGCGAGGTGCACGGAGCACGGCAAGAAGCTGATGTATTTCTGCAGAGTAGAGAAACAGAAAGTTTGCAGCAAATGTGCGATTATGGGCTCACACCGAGGGCACACGGTGGTGGCAGTGGAAGAGGCCTTAAGTGAGTTGAAGGTTGGTCATTGCATACACAACTCGTGTTTCTTTGCTTTTTTTAAAAAAAATACAAGTGGCCCCAGCATTCTGTCTGACACCTCCCAAGCACTTGCTTAACAGCTTTAAACTCTTCAGATTCCTTCGCCCCCTGTCACCCAATGAATATGAGCAATTTCAGAAAGGCTGCATCCAGTCCGATTTTCCCGAATGTCCTGAAAAAGTTGTGGTGGATCTGCTTCCTAAACTGTGCAGTCATTAAGAAATGATAGTAGTGCTTCCAAGACGTTCGGCAGGGAATAGGGATACTGAAGAAATGTATATTAAGCCAAATGTAGGCAAATTTAGGAAACCTGGTCGGCACGGATGCGTTGGGCCGAAGGGTCTATTTCTGTGCTGTATGACTCTCTATTAAGATAAATCTTTATATATCATCCTTACTTAATTGCCTATAGGGTCATACCATCAATGCAAGTTCACTGTATCCCTGACGTCCCAATAGATCAAGTTGAAACTACTATCCTCAAATATTCCAGCAGACTGGTTGCATGACCCAAGATGTGTGACGGGACCGACAGAATTCCTGACACATTGAACCTATGGGGAATTGCCTTGGGAAGTTTGAACTTCTTATAGGGAATACTTCTGGACCCTCCAAAAAGGTCTGTGATTCTGAGTTAAAGTAGGTGACTTCGGGCCGTTCCAGCTTAGTTACCCAGGAAATGTTGGGTTAAAAAAAACTAGATGAAATTTTGGCTAACTCCTGACAGCCTGATTCCTACCTCAAGTCCCTCCTCTCGACCGGACCTAACCAGGGTTTACCACTTGATTCCTCACGCTGTGACTCCTACCCGACCTTCTGACTCCTTTGCCTTTCCCCCTCACACACACAACCCAGCCTCACCAATCTATCCAACTGCCACCCTGTCCCATTACCCACTTATCACCTACCCTGCACACTTATATGTTTACCCATTTAGCATTATATGGACCTGAAAAGGACAGCTAATGCTGTAAAAAAAAGTGTGTGGCTTTTGCATAGATACTCTCAGCTGCTCCCTCCAAGGTTCCTTCAACAGAGTGTGTTCTACAGGATATTCCATTGCAAGATTGGATAGAAAAATCTGAGGAAGGTAAGTGGCCAATTTTTTTTCCATTTGGCATTGAAAATAGAGATTCTGTTAGGAATTGGGGCATTTGGCCTCTTGTATACAGGCCTCACCTCAGTATCTCAGTTATCCTTCACCAGGATTGGAGCCTGGTCTGTCCCACTGTATGGTGCTACGTACAATACCAGATGAGATTAGATGATACGTTGCAGACTGATGAAGAAATTTAGACCTTCTGTTCAGCCCTCATTATCACATTGGGTGACTCAGTCCAGCCCTGGAATTAACAGGCTTTGACTTTCAGGAATTGCTTGTGGCCTGTACCAGATGTTTGCTGATAATGTTCTGCTTCCCCTAAACAGAATTTTAATGTGTTTTTTTAATGTGAACAGGAGTCGTTGTCTGCAAAGTTGGTGGAGTTACAGGCAGAGAGCTCAGAGCAGACCTCAAGATTGGAAGAGATTGAACGGAACACAACAGCAGCCCAGGTAATAAAGAATTCTGGGTGCTGTTGTGGAGCATCTAAAGGAACTTGACACAAGTCAGCTGTCAAGTGAAGAAGCAGGAGTCTGTTGATCAATACTGGTCATATAATTAATGCACAAATGGCTGAATGACCTTTGATTGCTCCAAGAGGCATCTCAGCTATCACCAGATCTTGAGCACATTGACGCCATTTTTTTGCAACATAACTTTATGGAACCCGATTGCAACATGGATCATATGGCCTTGTTTATACTTTCAGTCCTGTATTTACATGGCTGTGTAAAAATAAATTATACCTGACATGTTCCTCCATCATTCCTCTCCTCACACCAGATATCCTAACTCCTATGTGCTATGACCTTCTTGATTTTCCATTTCATTCTTTTAGGACACTTTCCTATCAAGAACGGCAATTTGTCAGAAAATAACAATGCTCTAGTCTATCTAATCTAATAGTTGACACGGTCAATGAGACCATATCCCCCCACTTATGTCATCACTTTTGCCTCACAGCCACGTCTGGTGACCTATGCCCTCTTTAATCTGTTAGCCCTGAATTGTTTCTGCATGATCAGCAATACCAGGCAAAGTATGTAATCTCATGTATTTAAGTAACTTCCTGTATTGACCTCTTCAGTGCACATAGGTAAATTATTTCTCTCATGACCCCTCTTGGTACTGGTTCCATGTGTGGAAGCCTGTCTTCACCATCTCACCCAAGTGGGTCATTCTTCACATAAATCCTTCTGATGAGCAGCAGCAAGACATTTGACTGTTGGGGGGCCATTGCAGTTCAGTTTCACACACGTTATCCTGCATTAATTTGGAATGGGAATTTTGTCTGACTTTAGCTTCATTTCTGATATCACTTAAGGCATTTATTGTGTTCTGCCTCTTGAATACTATAGCTGAGATCAGCGAACTAAACATAGATTGGAGATAGGAGTTGGACCATTCCTGACCCCTGTAACACAAGGTGAAGTATTTGGGCTCTATAGAACTGCCGGAGAGGGCTTATCATGTTATTATTTCAGGTGTGCAGGGGACTTCAAGAGACTGTGACTTGGTTTCTATCATGACTGAGGTGGTGAGGGATCAGATTCCTTGGTTCATTTGAGTACTTGCTCCTCACAAAAGTCTAAATTGTGAACCTTTCTATTCTTGATACAGGAGCAAGCTGAGATACTCGAACGGCAAGTGCAAGAAGATTTTGCTGCTTTGCGGAGCTTCCTAGATTCAGAGGAGAAAGTTTTGATGGAATTGATAGCTGCTGAGAAACAACAGACCCTGGAGGAGCTGAGAAGGCTGAAGGCAGAATGCTTGCAGAGAGTTGAACGTCTGAAATTGCTGATGGATCCCCTTGATGCAGCACTGCAGACCACCAACCTGAATGGCCTCCTGAAGGTAATTTATTATGGGCCCAAGGGCAGATGCCTTTTTTCTTCTGGTCTTCTTTAATCTAGTCACTGAAAGAAATTAAACAAAATGCTTTTATGTCTTTTATTTCACCTGATGTTTAGTGCCAAACATTGCATCTGCATTGATCTATCTTTGGCAAGGAGAGGCCTAAAAAGAGAGGAAGAGCTCTGCAGCACCTCTGATATCAGAATGTGGCTTGAACAAAATTATGACCCCCTGCACCATCATTGAAAGTGTACCTCCACCCCTGTTGTCTTCTCTGAATTTGTACCTAAAATCCAGGGATTGTGGGGATCTCCAAAACATGCAGCGTTTTGACTTGAATATTCAGCAGCTCTCCTTCACCCTCACTAGTTTAGTAACCTGGAATTTCCTATCTACTGCCACGTTCCAATCTACACTCTCCCGTCCCCACAATGAATCCTGTAGTTCAAGGATAAGGACACCATCTCCTCTTCTGAGGAACTGTATGTGGGAAATAAAAGCAGTGCTGTCGGAATTGTTCACAAACATTTATTAAGAAAAGATATATGGAAACAATATTGACTGTCCTACCTAGTCCCCCATCAGAGAGAAGAGATTTTCTTGTTCTCTGCACTATATTTTAGTGGCAGTCACAATGATGCAGAGTATTTCCAACACTTTTGGTGATCACCAGGCAGCATCATGTTATAACAAGGTGTAGAGCTGGATGAACACAGCAGGCCAAGCAGCATCATAGGAGCAGGAAGGCTGACGTTTCGGGGCCTAGACCCTTCATCAGAAATGGGGGAGGGGAAAGGGGTTCTGAAATAAATAGGGAGAGAGGGGGAGGCGGATAGAAGATGGATAGAGGAGAAGATAGGTGGAGAGGAGACAGACAGGTCAAAGAGGCGGGGATGGAGCCAGTAAAGGTGAGTGTAGGTGGGGAGGTAGGGAGGAGATAGGTCAGTCCAGGGAGGACGAACAGGTCAAGGGGGCAGGATGAGGTTAGTAGGTAGGAGATGGGGGTGCGGCTTGAGGTGGGAGGAGGGGATAGGTGGGAGGAAGAACAGGTTAGGGAGGTGGGGACGAGCTGGGCTGGTTTTGGGATGCGGTAGGGGGAGGGGAGATTTTGAAGCTTGTGAAATCATGTTATGTTTCAATCACTCACTCCTCTCAGGTGATTAATAGCGAAGGGTATGTCTGTGGTGACTCGGCCCAGAGATGGTGCAATCAAGCAGAGCTTTTTCACCATTTTACTCCCACTTTTCTCAATTTGTTTTTGTCTATTTCAGGTGCTGAACACTTCCTCTGATCGGTGAGATTAAAGTATACCTTCTGCATTTTGTTTCATTTCAGTTTTGCCCGTCTTTCTGTCTGCTTTTTAACTGGCCTTGTACCACATCTTATGACCATTTGTCTCTGCCTTCAATATGTTTCTGCGTGTCTATTTTGGTCTCTTGCTCTCTCTCAGCCTCTATTTTTCTCTGCTTCTTTATCTTTATTTTCCTCAATTTCTCAATTCATTTCACTGAAGCAATGCCCATGACTTTTGGTAGCATTATTCAGCTAATAGTCTCATTGCAGATTTCGTAATCCATGTGAAACAGTGAATGACCCCATTGTACGTTTTGAGGCTGAGAAATTTTGTGGCCCACTGCAATACAAAGTTTGGAAGAAGATGTTTCAAATAATTCAGACGGGTAAAGATTATTTTTTTAATACCAGCTTCTTTTGGTGAGGATTTGAACATCCTTATCTTCATGTCATCCACAATACACCCTTTGAGAACTGCAGTGTACATGCTGAAAACAGTCGAGATTCAAATCTTACATACAGCGGTGTAACGCCCATCAGCACTCAAGTTCCAGCACTTATGAGGACAGGTTGAAGTTAATGGAAATGGACAGACTGGACTGGCAGAGGATTACCCTTTAATTTTATATCCTCACCAAACACCCACCATTCTAACTCTACAGGATAAGCTCCCTTCAGCAGACAATCCAATGGCAAATATAGACTTCAGTGTAAAACATATATCCAAAGTTTACTTTCTGAAATAGGATACTGTGTGTACAGCCTTTCACAAGAGGTCCACGTTTTACTGACCAATTTATGTTGTACTTCTTTTCCACTTAGTGCCTGAAGCTTACACCTTTGACTATTCAACTGCTCACCCTTACCTTGAAATCTCGGCAAACCGGCGATCAGTCATTCCTCTTCGTGCACCTTTGCCAGTTGTTTACATGGATGCGCGATTTGACACTGCCCTTTGTGTTCTTGGTGCTGAAGCATTTTCAACAGGGAAACACTACTGGGAAGTGACTGTCAACAAGAAAGACAAATGGGACCTGGGAGTTGCTTACAACTGTATATCCCGCCATGGGGATATTGTCTACCGTCCAAGCGACGGCATCTGGTGTCTGACATTGCGAGATGGTTGTCACTATGAGGCGTGTGATGAGCCTGACATCCAGCTGAAGGTCCAGCGCAAACCATGCCGAATCGGTATCTACGTAGACTATGAGGGTGGCGTGGTGTCGTTCTTTGATGCTGAGGCGATGCAGATGCTCCATGTCTTTCGAGCCCATTTCACAGATCCGCTTATACCCCTGTACAGCCCTTGCAGACTGGAAGATGGAGCCCTGGGTGATCAGAGACTCAGTATTTTCAAATTGAACGTGTGATATCGTTGAGGACAGTTTTCTCTGCTTTGTACTGTTGGGGTTGATCATTGCAGGAACTCTGATTATTCATTGTTCCTGGCCCCAGTCACAAACAAAATAAAAAATCTTTGTTTTAAAGTTGTGTGGCCCTCTTTTGTTGTTCTTTCTCCCCTGTGCTGAAGCAGCTATGAACAATACTGTCAGGTATGTTTAACTACCTATTGGAAAGTGAGTTTCAATCTTTAGATTCCGAATGCAATGGTGAGTTGGGTCTGGTGGAGTGTTTGACTATGGAAGCAATAATGTGGACAAAGTTTAATCTTGTCCTTGCGTGCTCACTTTTCTGCCAGTTGCTGGCTAGTGATCAGGAGCTAATTTTCACCATTTCTAACTCAGATGATTGTGATATGTTTTTTTTCCTTACTCTTTCACAGCATTTGTTGCTCATCTCTAATTGCTCTTGAAGTGTGGTTTTCTAGGCCTTTACAGAATGAAGTTAGGAGTCAATCACATTCAGGCCAACCACAATGCTTCATAGCGATTATTTGATGCAATTGACCATGAAACCTGGGACAGTCTTGTTCTGTGATGTTTAAGACCACATTTGGCAGGGAAGTTACCGACAGAGAGTGTGGGGAGCTAGAGTACAACTTCAGAAGCCAGAAACAAGAACAGAAATTGCTGGAGAAACTCAGCAGGTCTGGTAGCTTCTGTAGATAGAAAGCTCACTACAGATCCTGCCAAACCTGCTGAGTTATTGCAAGTTGTTCTTGTTTCAGATTTCTAGCATCCACAGCTATAGAGTCATACAGCACAGGAATAGACCCTTTGGCCCAACCAGTCCATGCCGACTGTATTCCCAAATTAAACTTGGCCCACCTGTCTGTGCTTGGCCCATATCCCTCAATTATTCTTATTCATGTACTTATGCAAATGTCTTTTTATTGTTGTAACTGTACCCACATTCACCACTTCCTCTGGAAGTTAATTCCACACACAACCCACTCAGTGTAAAAAAAAATTTGCTCGTCATGTCCTTTTTGAACTTTTTCCTCTCATCCTAAAAATATGCCCCCTAGTCTTGAAATTCCCCTGCCCTAGGGAAAAGACACCTGCCATTCACCTTAAACATGCTCCTGATGATTTTATAAACCTCTATAAGGTCATCCCTCAACCTCTCTGTTCCAGTGAAAGAAGTCCCAGCCTCCCCTTACAACTCAAACTCTCCATACCTGGCAACTTCCTGGTAAATCTTTTCTGAACTGTCTCTAGCTTAATAATATCCTCCCTATAACAGGTACATGTAGGGACTCCAAAAAGTGGATATAAAATTTTGCAACAGATCAAAACTTAATATAATGTACAGAATAATAATGCAACTCAAATCCTATTAGTTTACCCTAGAGCCAGCATAGATTTCCAGACCAGTAATGCAGTTTTAACAAATTATTAACTGTTATCCTAAATCTTTTCTGATTTGTTGGCACTCCCAGAGTTTCTTTACCCTTTTGAATTGCTATAAATCAATTTACCATGATCAGATCTAATAACCCAATTTATCAAAAATTAGCCAGCATACACCAATTTTATCTCCACTACAAAGCCCAGAAGCATATCTTTTTCATGTTTGATAATATCTTTATATCATTTGAGCTGTGCTCCAGATCATTAAGGACTAGTAGAATTGTTTTTTTAAAAAAAAAACCTTAAATGCAGTGTCATCAAAAACAGCACCTCATGTATGAATTTTCAACTAACTTTCTGAATGTCTAGTAATTTCATGAGACTTTAAAATTTCTCAAACGGCTGTTGGGAGGAGAATAAATTCAATCTCATTCAGAATTAGAAGAATGAAATCTCATCTTGTACAAATTCAGTGTGGGCCAATTTGGTCACTTTCAAGAGATTAATTGGAATCATACAAAATCTTGCTTTCGCCAAAAATTTACGAGAATAATCTATAATCCATTGGAAGTTGATTTTTCTTTAATCCTAGCAATATCATTTTGTATGGGGAAAAGAAATAGCTGGGAGATTACCATCACTTTCAAATCTCATTTTACTCAGAGTACAGGAGCTTAGGAGTCTGAAGCACAATTGATGTAGACACTAACTTTGAAGTTCATTGTTAAGGTGCTCCAAATATGAAAGTGATCTATAGGGGCTACATGGGCACTAACTGATAAGGGGAGTTTACAGAACCTCAGGTGTCTATACGATTTGCCAGCTCCTGTTCATTAAAGCATTTTTTTCTCATTTTGGCAGCTTTGACAGTCATAAAATACCAGGATCTCCTATGAGATTACAGAAAGTGAGTCGGCATCTTGCCCTCATCACCCCCAATTAACGCAAGTGCAACTTCTGACAAACAACTTTGAACTAAGAAATGATGATGCCAGCAGCATTATCTGGTTATGCTTTATTAACTTAAGGGTAAACGAAGGATCAGGAGGGATCCTATTATGGACCAGATCAAACCTCCTCAAAATATATTAAGAAAGTAGTCTGAATCCTAACTTTTTCTTATTTTAAAGGTAAATATAAGATATTGCATTTCAGATGCAATTCAATTTGTCAAATTACTCAATGTTAAGCAAAACATAATTTATTCAAACACTATTGTTAAAATACAACAAAAAAAAGGAAAGAATTGGATTAGCTGTAATGCTATTGGAAAACTTAACAGAATAGTAGATTAGTTAGCTACTAAACAGTAGCTTTTCCAATAAATATCTACACCCTTGGCAAAAGGCAAATTCAGAAAACAGATTGTCTCACATGTAACTCTCAGCAGCAGGAAGAGAAGCCCCAGCATTTAGCTGTAACAGAGAGGGAGAGAGGGGTGGGAAGCTTCCACTTCTTCTAGACCTCAGCAGCGATTGCTACTGAAAACTTAAGAAACTAAAAATCCTGGTCTGTGAGAGCTTGATAACACCCATTCAGGCTGTTTCTATTGTTCCAAATTTTTAAAAAATCCAAGGCCTCACAAGCTGTTTATAAGTTTTCAATAGACATCTCAACGCCTCTGTCTTAAAAACGTTCTTTAAAATAAAGGACAAAATAGACCTCTTAAAGCCATAGTATCGTCACAATCTATTGACATTGAATCATAGAATCCCTACAGCATGGAAACAGGCCCTTCGGCCCAACAAGTCCACGCCGAATCTCAGAGCATCCCACCCAGACCCATCCCCCTTTAACCCACCTAATCTGCTTATCCCTGAACACTTTGGACAATTTAGCATGGCCAATCCACCTACCCTACACATCTTTGGACCGTGGGAGGAAACCGCAGCACCCAGAGGAAACCCATGCAGACACGCGGAGAATGTACAAACTCCACACAGTTGTCCAAGGGTGGAATCAAACCCAGGTCCCTGGCACTGTGAGGCAGCAGTGCTAATCACTGAGCCACCATGCCACCCATTTTGTTCATAATTACTTTGGGCTTGAGATGTTGAACACCACATTTTTGAAACTGTATTAACAGAATATACGGATATAAACAATTGAAATGTATGCAAAATAATTACTAAACTTGCACCATTTAGAGGGCATTAAGAGTAGAATTATAGAACATGTTGCATGACCACCCTTTTGGCTGGCGAAACACAATGTCATGACTCCATTTATAAGAAAACATCCAGAGCAATATGAAGCATATAAAACAGTTCCACCACCCTCTTTAACTGACAGCAAACCCAAGTTTAATACAAGCAAATATCTTGCGCAAGATCAAAAAATGCTTGCTTCATGAATCCTAAATCTGAAAAGACAAACTCGCTGAGCAAGCAATCAAATTCATACAACAAACTGTTCAGTCAGTAAGTATCAAATTAATCCCGCAGGCCCGACCAGTCCCCCTCCACTGATACCCTCATCCGCTTAGCCGAACTCGTCCTCACACTCAACAACTTCTCTTTCAATTCCTCCCACTTCCTACAGACAAAGGGGGTAGCCATGGGTACCCGCATGGGCCCAAGCTACGCCTGCCTCTTTGTAGGTTACGTGGAACAATCCCTCTTCCGTACCTACACCGGCCCTAAACCCCACCTCTTCCTCCGTTACATTGATGACTGTATCGGCGCCGCCTCGTGCTCCCACGAGGAGCTCGAACAGTTCATACACTTCACTAACACCTTCCACCCCAACCTTAAGTTTACCTGGACCATCTCTAACACCTCTCTCCCCTTCCTGGACCTCTCTGTCTCCATATCGGGCAACCACCTCGAAACCGATATTCATTTCAAGCCCACCGACTCCCACAGCTACCTAGAATACTCCTCCTCCCACCCACCTTCCTGCAAAAATGCTATCCCCTATTCCCAATTCCTTCGCCTCCGCCGCATCTGCTCCCAGGATGAGGCATTCCACTCCCGTACATCTCAGTTGTCCTCGTTTTTCAAGGACCGTAACTTCCCCTCCTCGGTGGTCGAGAACGCCCTCAACCGTGTCTCCCACATCTCCCGCACCTCATCCCTCACACCCCGTCCACGCAATAAAAACCAAAAAAGAATCCCCCTCGTCCTCACGTACCACCCCACCAACCTCCGGATCCAACGCATCATCCTCCGACACTTCCGCCATCTGCAATCCGACCCCACCACCAAAGACATCTTTCCCTCCCCACCCTTATCTGCTTTCCGGAGGGACAACTCTCTCCGTGACTCCCTTGTCCGCTCCACACTCCCCTCCAGCTCCACCACACCCGGCACTTTTCCCTGCAACCGCAGGAAGTGCTACACCTGCCCCCATACCTCCTCCCTCACCCCCATCCCAGGCCCCAAGAAGACTTTCCACATCAAGCAGATGTTCACCTGCACATCTGCCAATGTGGTATACTGCATCCGCTGTACCCTGTGTGGCTTCCTCTACATCGGGGAAACCAAGCGGAGACTCGGGGACCGCTTTGCAGAACACCTACGCTCGGTTCGCAACAAACAACTGCACCTCCCAGTCGCGAACCATTTCAACTCCCCCTCCCATTCCTCAGACGACATGTCCATCCTGGGCCTCCTGCAGTGCCACAACGATGCCACCCAAAGGTTGCAGGAACAGCAACTCATATTCCGCTTGGGAACCCTGCAGCCCAATGGTATCAATGTGGATTTCACAAGTTTCAAAATCTCCCCTCCCCCCACC